AAGATATCCTGAAAATGGAATTTTCTCCCACAATCGTGTGTCGTATTAGAAGCTCTTTGCTATAGCAAACCATAAAAATACAATTAGGGTATATCCTAATTATATTTTTATGGTTTCCACCCAAATTTGAAATATTTTCCGTTAACTCGCAGCACCCTTTAACTCCACTGTATTATCTGCAAGTACGTTTTCGCACCGCAGGTTACTCGTTTAGACTGAACCCTTTAATGCGACCGTCTGTTCACCGAGCCATCCGAGTGTAATGACCTTCAGTGGATTGCCCTAGCAGAAGGGTGAGTGCCTACTGAGACTTGCAGTACGTCCTCTTATCACTACTCCTTGCGCACTGAACGCAGAACGCGTCAATGAGATTCGAGTTACCAGCACGCTCGGACTGAAACTACATAAACACATATTATGCCATGCGACGTCACTAGTGGTAGGGGGAGGTCCAGAACTGACTGATTTCCAAGGACATGTGACGTGCGACCGATAGTGATCGAATCGTTACGGCTCTCGAAGTTACTTCATGAACAGAGAGTTGAAACAGGGTTTCATGGTGTGACGTCATTCAAGTTAGCCAACATGTGCAAGCTGAAACTACACACACACACACACACACACATTCAAGGTCATATGTCATGCGATGTTATTAGTAGTAGGGGGAAGTCCAGAATTGGGTGGAATTTCCGAAGTCATGTGATGTGCGACCCAAGGTTATAAAATCGTTGCGGCTTTGAAGTCAAATCATAGGTGGATAGTTAATTATGTAACTCAAGGTCATGTGACGTCACATGAATCTCATGACCAAGTCATAAACGGAGAGTACATGGACCTTGAATGAAACCACATAGATTAACTTTGGATTGGAGTGATACAAAAGATCTGATGGAAAAGTTACATACTAGTACACTTATTCTACATTGATGTCACAAATCCCCAACCACTCCAATTCAAAGTAAATCTATGAGGTTTCATTAAAGGTAACTCAAGCTCAATTTCATGTATCAAGGACAAAGTTGTTCGTCAAAATCAAACTCAATTCTCAAGGTCGCGTGACATCATCAAAATTACTTCAAGGTCACATGTCTCCCAAGGTCGCTTCACGTCATTCGAAGTCATGTTGCATCATTCAAGGTCAATATGAGGAGGCCCATGAACATTAGACAACTACTATGGGAAGAATGCTATTCGTTCAGTAATAGTGAGTCACCTCTTTATCAAAAAATGTGAAGAAGAGTAAAATTCTCACATTTGTGTGGCCAGAGTATATTCTTATAACTGAAAATAATAATTCAAATATTGGTATATGACTTATTTATTCTGAAAGCATAGCTTTTCAAATCATACAGCTCAATAATCCCAAACATATGTTATTGGTAAATAACCAATGAGTAAAAAAGCTACTGTCCATCTCCGAAACCCACGCAATAACGCTATGTGCTACTTTAGGCGTTGTAATTGCAACTTAATGCAGCAATTTCGAGTAAACTTTCCAGCCTCTTCTATTGTTGAGTGATACAGCTTTTCTTGGCACAAATCGTTCGGATTTCGAACTCCCTAAATTTATTAATATCTCTACGTAGATTCTCAATGTTCTTAACTTATCAAACAATTAAAACAACGACAAAACACACATAAAAATGTCATTGCAAAAGGAAAAAATTCTAGTTTACACATAAAAATTAGGAAGAGAAAAAAAACATGAAATATACAAATCAATCGTAATGAAACATAAACAACAAACATGTGAGAATTGAGATCAGAAGGAATATGATTCCTGATACACAGAATCCGGCATTCTGTTTTTACTTTGTTAAAATATTAACTGCACTGGAAATGTGAACTCTAGGAAAAATCACGTAAAAGGCGAGAGAGAGAGAGAGATCATTATGGGGTAAACAGATTTTCGTTGCGTTATAAATAATGAAGACCTAGTTATACATAAAATATTTTCAACATTTTTATTAATTTTTTATGGGTTTTTAACCTTCCACAATTTGAAAAATAAATAAATCTAGATCCAAACTGTAACCTTCAACCCCGAAAAGTTAGAGAGTAATATAAAAGAGTTCAACTGATCAATAATTTGTCCTATTTGTGCCCTATTTAATAGTAAATTTTTTTGAGTATGAACGAAAAAGAACTTTTTCTGATGATACGTAAAATGTTTTGAAAAAGCTACTTATTGAAATATAATTCTTTCAATCATTTATTTCATTCACAGAAAAAAAATGTAAATGAGACAAGTTACTGACTAATTGTCCAAGGTTTACATTACACAATAACTTTTCGTTGTGAACTCATTAGTTCACACAATAAATTTTCACTTTTCATAAAAAGTCGATCGGCCACCCGATCTTGTGGTTGAAAAGAGAAAAAAGTAATTGTTATGGACAAATTTTACTGTCTCTTTCAATTAGTCATCAATTATCTGAAATTGTAGGATATCTACAATTTTTATAGGAATCAAAATCCTATCGATTGAAAGAGATACGTCAAGAAGAGTACTTCATCCACGCCACTGAAGATTACTGCCGCAGTTGCAGTTCAAACATTTGGATATTTTAACCAAAGAAGTGCAAGCAGTGGCAAAAACTGGAAACCAACGAAAACCTTGGTAGATTTTTTACAAGTACATCTGAAAAGTGTAATGTAAATGTTAAGATAACAGTTTTACTAGAAGCGAGAGTATTAAGTTGAAATTCATCGAACTGCAAACAAATAATAAAATTGACAAAGAAAAAAATGTTTCATCAAGATTTGAACATTGGCAGAGAGCTTTTCTTTGTATTATATTGTTTTACATTTTTCGTATAAAATATGTTGATTATAAATTATATATTCGGTAAATTATATTCGATGATGGATTTTAGTTATTAATAATTATCAAGGAAGGTTCTATAGTTCTTGAAAATATAATTCTGAGACTGCCTACCTGTAAACATTTTTCAACATTTTTTCAAGCCTCACAAACTATATCAGATTGACACTATGAAGAAAAAATACTGAAAATTTTATATAAAAATGTTGAAGATATTGAATAGTTACTTCTAACATGTAGAATAAACAGCTATTGGCAAAAAAAATTATGAAAGGTGACGTACATGTAGTAATTCAAATGAATTACTACAAAAGATTCTTTGAAAAAATAATTTTGAAATAGCCAAGACATTTGTTATGACTTTCAATTAATATGGCTAGAAATTTGAATCAACTTGGATTGAGGTATTCAGTCGAAATAATATGGACTCAGTACAAAGAAATCATGTCAGGTAATTGTAGTTTATGATCAGGTTAAATAAGTGACATTGGGTTGATTTAGTTTGTAATTCTGACTCAAAGTACAGCTGCAGGAATGAGTCATGGCCGTGGAGAAGCCTTTACCTCAAGATATGCAGTATATGTGTAGAAATCTGTTATCATTTATTGTTTACCTCTTAATCCGTATTACGTAAAATTGCAAACAAAAAATTCTTTTCCTTTTTTTCTAATACTTTCTTTGACTACACCGACCCAAACTTTACGCAGATACGATTTCTCCCACTAGCCATGACTCAGGCCGGTAGCTGTAATGGCTGGTTTATGAACTAAAATTTCACTAAAAGAAAGTGGATATTACTATTACTTTTATTCTTAACGAAAGTTCTCTGGGGTAGAACTTTTACTTCGAAGATTTCTCATGGACCAACTTTTACTTTAAAATAAGATTGGAATTAGGTCGATGGTATACCGTTGTTACGAAAAAATAAACTATTTGAAATTATGATAAATTCAGGGACTTCAATTTATAATTACCGTATATTCTACATTGATGTCACAAATCCCCAACCACTTTTTATAATTACCGTATATTATGTACAATTTTTCAGTAAAGTAATTTCCAGAAAATTCTAGATGAAAGAAGAAATTTTTAATTACGCACAATTGTACGTAATTGAAAATTTTATAATTATTGTTGGTTATAATACGGATCAGTGCGTGCGCACAATTGAAAGTTTTTTTCTCAAAAAAAATCGAAGAATATTGGTGAAAGAAAAAGTAAAAGTTTAATTGTACGATGAGAGTCAAATAATTTTTATTATAAAAATTCAAAGTAAAATCAAAAGATAATGTAAAAGCATGAAACTATGAAGCAGCCATAAAAAATGTGCTCTGCACATGAGTTGCCATAAATGTACCAGTTTTGATGTAATGCTTCTTTGTAGGTACTATTGAATTCCATGTGAAGTAACAAAAAAGTTGGTCGTTATATTGACATTTTGAATGAAAACACCAAAAATATATAATTGTTGTGTATAGTCTACTTTTTCGTTTCATGAATTGAACTCCATTTTCAAAAGTTGAATGAAATAAATTGTAAAATTGATATTTGGTCTTTGAACTAACCAAATGAATTCCAAGTAGAGACAAAAAAAATCCAAGAGAAATTGATTTCAAAAAAGCCTTATCACGAATGTTTAAAATCAGATTACCCCAAAATGATAGCTTGGTCTGCGATCTTTGTTTCATTTTGCTAAGATATATTCCAAGGAATGTATTTATTGACAATAACAATGTGCCTACAAGATTCACTGCGTCTAATGACTGAAAATGATAGGAGTAAATATTTGTATGCTTTCTCTTTTGAGCTATGTAGCAGATACATTGACTGTTGCAATTTTTTCATACACATATTTAGTAATCTAAGAAACCTTTTTCTCAGTTGACATATGTTCCTACTTTTCTACAAATTATATTGGTGATTTACACAAACCAAATATTGGTCAACAGTACCTCTACCACAATTGTGAATGCATGAACAACTTCTATATATTTGGAATGGGACAAGGGATTCGTGTTGACAGCTGACATTTACCAACGTTTGAATGAAAATGATGTATTGACTCTCCAAGGGAGAGTATTGACTCATTTATGTATTATGTATATATTTTGTTGCCACCATTTCACTAAGTGAACATTCACCTGGAATGCCATATATAAGCAGTTAAACCACTGAGTAGTTTATATGAAATTATTTATAATTAGAATTTACAATCTGTTGAACTATGAATACGATAATATTTCAGTAGTTACTCAGTAGAACAAAAACGAATCGGGCTATATTTATTTCCACGTTGAAGCTACTATCCATTATCAATCTTCATCAAACGTTCACATTGTCCAAAAACTTGCGAATATTCCTCAACCTCAATCTTCTCATGATCTCAATACTCAACCTAAAACTATTACAATTAGAAACGTCTTTGATGATGAAATCGCGGCATACTTGGTCTTGTGTCCCAAAGGTCACGTTTGTTCTGACTGAATAACGCTTGCGCAATCTTAGCTTCCGCAACCTTAGTGTCACTCTTCTTGGTTTCACACAACACCTTTGCGTAAGTCGTGTCCAACTTCTTCAATTTGTGTAAATCCTTAGAAGCCGAGCTACGCTTGAATTCAAACTTCACACTACCTTGACTCGGAGTGGGGGAGGCAGCGTTGCCGTGATCAGTTTCCATGGTCATATTCCTCGATTGTCCGCGACGTTTGCGAGCGCTGTTTGGTCTACTGGAATGGTTGACTGTGATGTTGCCAATGAGCGTGGCAGGAGACTCGGATCTGTCTCCTTCATCGGAGAGCCTGCTTTTGCGCCTAGAAGAGGAGCGTTTGCGCACTTCGACTGAGAGAAAGTCCAGTGTATGTATTTTTGGTCGTCCTACTCGCTCCTGGGATTTTTCTATCTCAGACTGTTTTGGAGGTTGGTTTTCGTTTTCTACAACGGCAGACGGAACGATTTTCGACAGTTCCGACATGGCGGAAGAGACGACGCTCTGTGTGTCGTCGTCCGGTTTCTGGGGATTTGAGAGTTTCTTGGGGGACGCTTTCATGGAAGTATGGTCATCCAGCAGAGGTAAGTCGCCACCCTCCGCTTTTCTCTTAGCAGCATTCTTCAATACGACAAAAATCTCCTTGAACACCTGTTGATACTCTGGATTGTCCTTGAATCTCGCGTTTATGAGATTGTGCTCGTTGTACCTGCTGAAATTGCAATCGTCTCCGTCGGCGAGTGATAACAAAAACTCCCCGAGGCGTCCTTCCGTTTGCGTACTCTTACAGTGTGTCTCGTCTACGTATCCCGAAGAGTTCGTTTCGGCCTCGGAGAAGTCAGTGGGAGTAGAGCACGTTTTGAGGCTTTTCTTATGGCTTCCGGGGTGCAGACTGTCGCCGTTGCCGCTTTCCTCATCGGTGTCTTTGGTGTTGAAGATGCTGTAGGCGTCTGACATTTGCATTTCTTTCTGAAGGGAGAACGATTGGTTTAGCTTGACAGCTTTGCGAACGTCATCCAACGCTTCGAACTTTTCCACCAGGTCTTGGTAGGGGTTATCGGACTGATCAGCGATCGAGTCATCGGCGGGATGGGCCTGTAACAAAAACAGACCAATTGTAAGTGAACGATTCACAGATACTCTTCAATGGATTTTCATAGGTCTTGGTATGAGTAAGATCACTAGTCAAACTTTAGTTAGAAGTGAAAGTCACAGCCAAGTGTTCGACCGAAAAATTTGCTGTGGAAATATTCCAGCTGACAATTGATTTTCTTAAAAATATATCGAAATACCGACCTCGAAAAATTAAGCCCATTTATGTGGGCTACCAATCTCCATTATGTCAATGATATCACTGTTTTGCCAAACTATTTGAACGTGACGTTAATGAGAAACCTCTTCGCAGTTGAGATTGAAATCTTAGGAGACACTGCGACAGGATTACCTGTTTCAGAAATTTCATACCTAATATTACGTGACGTTAGGGTAATCCTTCTTCTAATGAGAATAATCAAATTATATATAATTATTCTATAAGATATTTCGTATTTTTCATTTGTTATTAATAGAAACTCAAGCACGTGCTCATAGACATTACTCGTGTTTGAATGTTTCCATAAAAAATTGCATAAATGAATCCTTGAATAATATATTATTAATACCATGATAGCTGGGAAATCAATTCGTAACTGATTAGTTATAATTTTGTTGAATATATTGTGATTCTGACAATTCGGGAAACAATAAATAATTAAATTTCAACGTTCGAATTCAATTTTCAACTGAAAAAATATATATGTTGCCAAGAAGTTATTTTATCGATGATCTGAAAACTATTTGAAGTCAATGGAATTTGTGCCGCCTAATATTTCCAGTGACTATGATATAACAATGCTTTTGGAAAGTGACACAATTTTGTTTTTCAAGTAACGGGTCAAAATGTATACAAGATTTGAATTTGACGTCAATTGTGGAGTGTTGGTAACAAAAAGTTCGACAGCGTACAGTTCGGCGTAAGTCAAAATGGAGACCCATAAGAGATAACAGTGCGTTTATAGTGGGTTTATTTATTTGAATTAGTCATGTGTGAAAAAAGTATTTGGAAAATCCAGGGAAACTGGATTAACTGTTGATTCTAATTAAACATACTGGCCGTCCAATACCGTTCATATGTTCAAATTATCGTCGTGGACAATATTGTAAATTTAGAAAAGCGCTCTATAGCATGTATTTACTATAGGCAAGAATAGATTCTTGAACAACAAGTGGGTGTTGACTTTTATATAAAAATAATCCCAACAGGTTCGTTAATAATCAAATTCACATCATTTAGTCAGTGTTTGTGGTAAGTTCAAGCAGTAACTGTTACTAGTTCTCTTTATCGCTACAGATAGCACTGAGGTCTTTTTGCCTATAATGAATGATATTATTGTGGAACACATAAAATATTTCTTGGTCGTGTACCCATTTTGGAAATCAGAAGGGAATCCTTATTTCATATCATTTGATACTGCTGGATTTTTTCCTATGGGGCTGTTTGAATTCAAAGGTCTATATCTATGCAAACAAACACTCAATCACTCGTGCATCGATTGATAGTTACATCGCTGCATCAACTAGATTTAGTCACCATTATGTAAAATGGTCGTGGAAAATTTCGTTGAAATAGGTATGCAAAAGTGAATTGAGAGCCTGTGCTCTTTTATATACCTATGTATTTTATGAGTCAATAAGGGAATGATTGAAAAAATATTTTATATTCAATTCAAATCTTATGTACATTTTGGGATACTTACTAGTGATTTTCTAGAGGTCTGAATTTGAGTACGATTCGAAAGGAGAATCAAACTTAGAAATTAAAAATTATTGGAAACTTCTAGTAGTAGATGTTACTTATAATTATTCAACAAACATAAGGAAGTATTCCTTCTGAACTATCAGATAAATAAATATTTACGAAAACACAGTATCTACATACCTTTACGAATCAGTGAAGCTTGTGCCTGAGGCAGTAATGGAGAAGGATAAAGGGGATTTTTAAAGGTTTGGCAAAGAAAGGGATGAGGTAACAATCCTTTACGTAAAGGCACAAGTCAACAAATAGGGAAAATATGTTTGCAGCAGGCGAAATCCACATTACTGATATGGACATCTCCCTTCGGAGCAATTCCTCCAGGTGAATGTCCTGAGAAACAAACACAGCAGCTAAAACGTGCACGGCACACTTTCCAGCTGTCTAGATTTGAGCTGGTGAGTTTTGATAACATTGTATTCATACGAAATTCAACTTTTTGATGGCAGGAAATTTGTGAACTTTATTTTCAAATTGAAAAACCCATAATTGATGTTTTCTATATGATTCTTTGGGTCTAACACGCCGATTTGTAGGTATTTACATATTCTGTCAACATTTTTTGTGTGTCATGTAACAAAGAACGGTAGGTACCAACTTTCTCATTTTGAATGCAACACCCAGTATATTATCAATTGTTTGTTTCTTCAGAATATTCTGGACATATTCTACCTTGAATTTTTTCGAAAATGTTGAAATGTCAGATTTATTTTGAAAATAATAATTAAAAAAATTGATACAGGAAATTCGATAGACATTCGATACGAATTTCCCATTTAGGTCTTGATAATGAGAAACCAATCAAAAAATATTTCATCGTACGTTTTTATTGATAAAAAAAGAAAAAACTGAAGATTTTTATTTGGTTTGGGTAAAAATTTCTGGCCTTCGCAAATTATTGTCTGACGCCATGACAGTAGTTGTCACTGATGTGGTTTGAAATTTGTTCACTGTTAACTGTTAATGGTACATTCAACAGAAATGCACGAAATAATAATTCTACGAGACGAGTGAAAGTTGCTTGCCTATTTTCAGAAAAAATCAAGCGTGCCGCAAGGGACAATTAGTTAAATAGGAACGCAGTTTCATATGTTTGAGAAAAAAACCCACATACTTGTCGTTGAAAAGCAACCTGAAATGATATCCTTCATGGAGCTTATGGAAGATAATTTCAAGAGGAGAACCTATTTTTGTGAACAAAAAAGGTTATATACTGTGAGTCAATGAGAACATATTTTGTTTTCTGTTTTACGGTTATGCTAATCGTAAAAATTGTCACTATTGATTCAGGGAAAAGCATCGCTGAATAATCAACAGTATAAGTTATACCCTGAAAATATTAATGTTGGGACATTAATTGTTGTTGGGTCAACTTTGACGAACATGTTTTTTAATCCAGCGCAAACTCAAAAGTTCTAGCAAATATGATATGATTTTAGTAAGATGGAGCACAACCCCATTACCAGATCAATGTGCGGCAGTTTCTCAACCGAATATTTCCAAATAGATGAACAGCCCTACCACTTAGCTGACTTAGAATGTGCTCAATAATAACTCTTGCAATTATATCGATCACGCCTGATATAATTCTATAAATTCTATTAAGTAACTTCAGAACTATCTTTTTAGGATTAGGATGTTGCAAAAGACGTTCGTGGCAAGCATATAGACTAATTTTACAATTATTTATTATAATCAATCTGAAAAACACTGTTATTCAGCTGTCGCACCCCTACTAACGACAACCCTCAGAAGTCGAAACTTGTGCGAGCTAAGGACTAACGGGGTCTTACCTTTTAACGTGTGATTCCTAACACATATCTGAAATGTTCTAAAGAATGGAAAACATGGTGTTGCATTTATAATAAGACAATCGGTATTGACCTCTAGCACAATCTGTATAAGAAATATAAGAAAGTTCCATTAAAAAAAAATTGCAACTGAAATTATCAATTGACGTGTTTGAGAGTTTTTTTTTTATCTCCACTTATGCGAACAGTCATTCAATTCGATAGGTTGAAATTATCGAACCTTTTATAATGAAAATCTTTTTCATCAAGTATCGATCAGCCAATTTTATTCAATAATTGTAGTATAATTGTATAGTATAGGAAAATTCATAATTGTATGTTTTGATGATCGTACTGAAACCTCTGGCGTAAAATGAATCTATTGAAAACACTTTCCCAACATCAGAACAAAAGTACGGTCTCTCGACAAGTGTGGAATAAGTTCTATTTATAGAGACAAAGGTATTTCGAACAGTTATACGTAATAATTCTAAATAAAAACAGATAAATATTAGAGAAAAATGTAGGGGAAAGTCATAACATATTGAGAAAATACAAAACAAATTGTAAATATTAAAAAAGAGGTAGTTTAGCATAGGAACAATAACAGGCAGTAGTTAGGTAATAATAACCGGTAGTGTTAGGAACCACCAATAGGTAGTAGTTAGGCCACCAGCATATAAAAACATTAAGATGGTAGAATTTAGTCATAATGATCTCCTGAGGACGCTAACTTGGTAAGCGAAACGCGCATAGAGAGACCGTAATTTTGTTCTGATATTGGCAAAGTGTTTCCAATAGATTCATAATTGTATGTTAATACATTATAAATTTCAAAAAAAAGTTTTTCAGAACTCGAAAACTCATTTCAGTTATCCCAACAAATATTTAAATTTTCACCATTCTCTTTCTGATAATATATAAATCTCTATCCACGAGTTCTGGAATGGACTGCTATTGTACAACATGTAATTTAGATGTCATAATCTCTACAAAAAATCTTAGGGCTTTATATCAGGTGGTCTAGTGGGTCTGCCTATCCAATGCCATTTAGCCACTCTGGAATCAGCTTGTTAAATGCGGAGATGAAAACTCATGTGGATATTTCATTAATTATAGGCCTGATATGCTTTTGCAGCATATCTAGATATATCCTGATTTATTCTTTCCAAAAATATTATTCTTACAGTATGATTGGACAATACAGTCCAACATTATGTTAACTCATTACAATTAAGCATTTTTATGCGGCAACGATAACATTGGCCTTGGAGAGGGCTTCGACTGTTGCAGAGATGATTACAAAAAATACATAGTGCAGTTTTCAAGTATTTGAGAACTGATGTATAGTTCATCCGTTGAATAATGATACAGATATGAAACAATATTATAGAAAAAAATTTCATTCGACCATTATGTTGTATAAAAAGATCTCCCCACATGTTAACAGACCA